TGAGAAGTGAGGGACATGAAGAGGATAAAACTCTGATGGCAGCAATCTTTACTGGACAATCTAGCACATTCTCACTCAAAAGAGAAACATACCCTAATATTTACAAAAGTACAGCTTCCTGCACAACTATTAATTTAAAAGCTTGGCATTATGTTTTGAATGGACTGACAAGACATCAAAAAGAACCAGAGGAACAGCAGTAATGAAGTAGATCGATAAACAATTCAATAACCCTTTGAAGACRTTCAGATGGCCTCTGAGAGCTAAATGCTCTCTGTATATATTAAACACAACTGTTAAAAGAAAGTTAACATGCCAAACACATTCCTGTAGGCCAGTATGGCAGATATAAACTCTCCGCAATATACTAATTTCTCTCCACAAAACACCATACAAAAAAAAAAAATAAGGAGAAATAGATAATTAATACAAATTGTGATGGATATGTAATCAACAGAATTAGCCATCTGCCCAGGCAGGTCAGTACTGATCAGTACTGAAAGGAAAAGTATTACACAGTCTGCCATTAAGGGTCATCAATTTGTGTAGCAGACAAGATTACAGAGTTTCCAATTCTGCGTAGCGGAGTTCAACATACTGTTGAAATTACCCCAAATCTCTCCCAATAGAGAAAATGCGTCATTCCTTCTACATCTAAGYAATACACAACCTAATAATATCTGAAAAGCTATAAACTGGGACACAGAGATAAAAAAAAAAAAAGTGATGTTATTTAATCTCATTGTTGGGAGTTGGGAGGTGCGTTATTTTGCAAGACTGACTGGGAAAACAAAGTATTTTGCTGAGATAATGGAAATCAGTCCTGCCAAACAAGAGACAATCACCAGGCATTTTTACCTCTATTTACATAAACCCATAGTAGATTCCAGTTAACATTGGGATGCATTTTGCTCACAAAGTAAAGATAATACACAAAATAAAGGTTGCCTCCCCAACATTACAATGAGGGCTCATATGAAAAAATACRCAAGCAGCCCTGGGAGCACAGTCTCACCAAAACACTGATAGTGTTGCTGGCTACAGACTTTCTGCTCTCAGCTCTTTCTGGGAAATTTTGCATTACAAATACTTCARTAGGGTCACTGGAGAGCTGCCATCACACAAGTCTTTCCCCTTGTCTGCTGCTCGGGATATTTAAGGTAGAAAATCATTATCTTGTCCGATTCTGACAAAGGAACACACAGAAATCAGGTCTTGCATGTGGGTGAGTACTGCAGCCAAGGTGGATACCCTCCCAGAAGGGTACAGCCTCCACTGGTTATTACCTCCAGAATGTGTACCCGCCAAAAGAAAAACACAACCAACCAATAAAATTAAATCAGGTGTCCATCCCCAAAAAACTGGTAGGTCCTGAAGCACTCCCTCAGAAAGCAGAAGAAAAAAAAAATGGGGAAAACAGATCACTCTTCCTTGGTCAGCAGAGGTTATCAAATTCCCCTTTCCTGTTACCTAACAGTACCTCTGGTAAAGGAGGGATTTGCTGAACAAAAATACACTTGGATGTGTAGAATATCAAGCTCAGAGTATGAAGCTATTAATATACCTCCAAAAGAGATACTGAATATCCACAAGCATACCTCTAAGAATGAGCTGAAATTAATCTTCAAGAGACACTTTAGTCAGTTTGGGATAAGGATATTTGAGTACTGCAATTTAATTTTCGAGCTCAACAAATCTATACTTTTTAACCATGAATTTGTAGGGCTGTAATAACAGTTTCAGGGATAATG